CTTCTGTGTTACGGGATTTTAGAAACTAGAGGTTCGTTACTTCGAAGCAAGCCCAATGCCAGCATGGGCTGGCAGAAATTAACCTGAGTAGCAATAGTAGGGCGGGTTGGCAAGCTGTTGTTGGGAAGAGAGTTTGGTGAATGTTTTTTGAGAGACTGGAAATGGCTTTGAAACCCTCTGATGTGGGTGGTGCAGGAGGGCAACCAGCTTTTCCTCAAATGGCCACATGTGAGGAATCTTGGGCTACTGTGACTCATATTTGAGAAGCGTTTTAAATGGTACTTGTGACTTGCTTTCCAGTCTATAACAAATACATCCTCAGTATTCTGGAAAGGCACTCTGTTGCTGCCTTTCCTGGTGAAAGCATCTTGGAAATTGCCAGGTTCTTCAAGTTTGGTTTGGTGAGGAATGAGCGGTGTCAGAGGTTGTGTCCAGAACTTCCTTGATTTACCTGGTAACATGAGGATACCTCATCCATTTGTGATGTTGGTGCAGGATGGACACCAGGTATGCATGTGTGCATGCATTCATCCATCCATCCATACCTTCATTTATTATTAGCAGATGTTTGTAGTACATAATAATTACACTCATCATGGGGAAATGGTACATGCATATAATACATTCCAATTTCTTTCCTTTTTTTTCCCATCCTCTTTGTCTTCTTTTCTCATTGCTGGAACAAAAATACCTAACATCCACAAACTAAAGGAGAAAAGATTTTCTGTAGTTCACAGTTTGCAGAGGTTTCAGTCCATAGTTGACTGGCCGTACTGCAGGGCTATATGGTAGAAAGCCATGGCAAAAGAGAGTCTGTGCCAGGGCAGGCAAAAAGCAGCTAAGCAGTGAGCCTTCCTTTCTCTTTTTATTCCAGGTGGGCTACAGGCCTATTGGTTGTTGCCACCCATACCCAGGGTGGGCCTTCTGCCATTAAATACGTTCAACCACATGCAGGACTACAATATTAGAGGATCCATCCAGTTATCACATACCCATAATCTAATCTCATACATCCATGGTCCAGTCACTTCCAAAAAAGCTCCATCTGGAAGTGCCTGCAGCTTTGGGAGACATTTTAGTTATAAGCCATAATTCTCATCCTTCCCCTCGTTTCCCCTTGAAGATCAGGCTTTTAGTTTACTTTGCATCCTGTATCAGTGTAATCAAATGGTAACTATGAAATATTCTGGTAGCACTTTCCACAATAACAGAAATGTTCTGAACTGTCCAGTACAGTAGCTGTGAGCCATGTGTGACCATTGATTACTGCAAACGTGGCTAGTGTGACCAAAAACTGGATTTCCATTTCTTTTTTCCTCGTTTCTTTTTTTTTTCTCCTCCTTTTTTGGCAGTACTGGGGCATCACACATGATAGGCAAGCACTCTCTTCTCAGCTACAAAGATTCCACTTATATAAAGTTCATAAATAAGCAAAATCAAACTGTTGTGATATAAAACGAATCAATGTCTTCCTGGGAGTGGGAAATTAATAGAGAAGGGAGACTGACAATAGGCAAGAAGGAACTTTGGGGCTGGGGATTTAGCTCAGTGGCACTGCACCTCCCTCGCAAGTTCCATCCCTGGTACTGCAAAGAAAAAAGAAGGAGCTTTGTAGGGTGACATACCTGTCCCATACCTTGGTTATGTTGATGCATAATTTGTCAAAACATATTAATCTCCATCTTTAACATTTATGCATTTTACTGTGAATGAATTATATCCCTATGAAGAAGAAGAAGAAGAAGAAGGAGGA